CGCTCCATCCTTTACAGGACTCTCAGTCCGGAAGGAGCGAGTCCTTCTCCATGCTCCTCTGCCCCGAGGTTACTGACCCGTGGGGGCGAATACATGGTCACCGCGGTATTTTCCCTCTTGGGATTTATTCAGGAGGTTCCAAACACGGGGTCCCTGTAGATTTCCACCGTCACCTCTTAACGCGAATGCTTTTTGTCTGGAGGCTCTATCATTTCTTCTACCATCCCGTTCCGATGTCTCTGCATTTGTGGCCACTATCGGCATATTCAAAGCTCTCTCTAACGTGACCGGCATCTGTAATCTAACGTGTTTCCCTGGAACCCCCCTTAGCCCGCTGATGAAAGCGGCTAATAACCTATTTTTCTGCTTCTCGATTCAGTATGGCTAGTTCTACTGGATTTTCTGTATGTTGGACGGTCTTCTGACACAGTTTACGGAGACGGTCTAAATACATTTCGGGACTCTCATCTTTCTCCTGAGAAGCATTATCTAACCTTGTATAGTTATATTGATCTATCTGTTTTTCCTTGAATCTCTGCACAAAACGCCTTTGAAATCTGAATACTGTACATCATCACCCTTCAACTCCGGTTCGGTGGAATAAAAAACTTGATACGCCCCTCAATTTCAATCTTGCTAGCCGTGACTTATCTTTAGCGTTTAGCCGACCCATCTCGGTTGCTTCATCTATTGCCTCGAAAAATTCATGCACGGGGGCACTGCTCTGGCCTCCCTTCCAAGGCTCAATAAAATTGGCTACCCACATATCTTTTGCTGCAGTTGCCATTTTCCTCTTTTTATTTTCTTACTTAATTTGCCGCATTGCTTACTAAAATATTCTCCTTATAACACAGGGCTAAGTTTCGTATACTTACGAATAAACCTTCCAACTAATTTTCTCGCGTACTTGCGAGACCCTTCTAAAATCACTGCGTGCGGCACATTTAACACATGTACCAGTAGAATTGTAAATTCGGTATCTCCAACCGTACTTCGGGGGTAACAACAACAAAGCCCATACATGTAATTGCAACTATCAACACTTCCATTCACAAACATATATTCCCAAGTAAATCACAAAACACAAAGCACAAATACCACAATTAATTCAACAAACGAAAAAATACAATACTCCCAAATATAGCGCTTATCCCATATCTCCATATTTGAGTTTCCATTTAATTATTTAACCTCTCATTAATTCCCGTTAAGTAATAAATTCTCATTAACTCTTCAATGATCTTCCTTTAATTCTTACATAATATAACTAACCCTTTTATAATCTGTGTTTACTCTTTGCACTTAGTCTAACACAATCTCTCGGCTGCGCCATAGCTCAAGCCGTTAGTCGCTGGCTTCCCATCGCGGCGGCCCGGGTTCGATCCCGGGGTCTGGTCAAGTGGGATTTGTGGTGGACAAAGTGGCGCTGGGGCAGGTTTCCTCCGAGTACTTCGGTTTCCCCTGCCAATCTTAATTCCACCAATTGCTCCACAATCACCCTCACCTATCATCTGGGGCTAGTACAATAGGCCAGAAGTGGCCGCAGTACAAGGGACTTAGTCCCACTCCACTAGCAATAATAAAAAAAAGAAACACCATCTCTCTCGGAGTGTGTTCGAAAATCACGACGCTGTCACCAACTCTTATGATGCCAGGAGGGATGCGGTATAAGATACCGAATCAATGAAAATACCTTTCTGTTCTAATCAAACAACACAAAATAACATTTATTTAAATTAGTAAAATAATAACATAGCTGATCTAACCCAACCTGGTAGGATTGTAGGTACCTCTCTTACTTTAATTGTTTCTTGTATCCTGTTGTGTATTTAATCAATATTGGAGTAAATTTTACCGACCACACAACATATTTTTATTATTATTACACTACATATTTCGACCTCAAGAGGTCATCCTCAGGTGTACGAACACAGCTGTATAATTACACGCAATCACATTCGTCTTCTCACTTATTCGATCCTGTATCTTATTCAGGCTCACGCTCAATAATATATCCAGCTCTCTCATAAAACACAAGTTAAAATTGTTCTAAAAGTCAAAAGTTAAAATTTAAATTTAAAATTGTTTAAAAAATGTAAAGTTTGTGAATCGAAGACACATCAGTAGCCATCATGACATGGACCGTAACAGATCCACAACTTCAGAAGATGCAGTAGAACAGCAAGACCTCCAACTTTAATTCATGAACTTTAATTCATGAACGGTTAATCAATAATATAATTAAATTAGTTAAAGTGAACTTGATGCAGTGATGAACGTAAGTAGGAAGTGACTGAATACAAGTGAAAGTGAAAGCATAACAAGTGACCTGAATTGAAATTCGATTCACAAACTTTAAAATTTTTAAACAATTTTAACTTTTAGAACAATTTTAACTTGTGTTTTATGAGAGAGCTTGATATATTATTGAGCGTGAGCCAGAATAAGATACAGGATCGAATAAGTGAGAAGACGAATGTGATTGCGTGTAATTATACAGCTGTGTTCGTACATCTGAGGATGACCTCTTGAGGTCGAAACATATAGTGTAATAATAATAAAAATAGTTTGTGTGGCCGGTAAAATTGACTCTAATATTGACCTCTCTTACTTATTTAAGTTACCAAGCCTGGCTGTGACCAAACAGATCTCTACTTACAAAATGTTGAAAAATACGAGGACACCAAGTCTCTGCTCGTCACTGTAGAGGCCTGTGGTCAGCCAGCTCTTGTCTAGGGCACTTAGGCTCCCCCCTGGAAGATGGGTCTCAGTTCGGTCTTACTACACTGGTATCTACCAAAGAAGTGTCCCTCACTTCCTTTCTGATCAATCCTGAAAGTAACAACGGTTTCCCCCAAGGCCCATTGTAACAGAAGTTACAATTGGATAATTATTCCCTGCCTCGTTCTTCTGAAAATAACCATCTTTGTTCTGCAACTTCATGTGAGGTGTAGTTTGCTCTCGCCGCTACGTGTCTCTAAACCTGCTGTATAGGAAGTTAACGTGGCCTAGGCTTGCTGCCTCAGATTTTAATACTATATTAGCTAGCATCTCACATCCTGTGGGTTTCGGTTCTACTCAGCCACAGCAAGTTTGATCGAATATGTGTATAACAAATAAACTGAAATATTCAATTGAATGAATGTATGAGGGGTAGGCCTCCTTGGCCCTTGCACCGAGACCTACAGTGCTTTAAATATTAAATTAGTACTACTGAATCCCTATTCCTTCAAAGTAAACATCAATATGTTTATATAAGAGATAATCCATTTCACAACATTAAGGCTTCTCAGCATGCTTTCACTCTGTTGCTTGGTCATCGATCTTAACAATGGTTACACTTGTACAATATTTTATCTAGGCATATCCTGGTAACAAATCACTAGCTTATGTGTTCATGTCTTTACTCTTTGAGCTCTAGATTGTTAACTGGGAAATGAGCCCTTTTATTTGTAACAGATTATCAGCATTTTAATAACTGCCATAGAGAAAAGGAGCATTACCAGGCAAAGGATAGTTCAGTCAGTATAGCGGTTTGGTGACGGGCTAGACAACCGAGGACCTGGGGTTATATTCCAGCAAGGATACAAGATTTTTCTCTTTATGACATCCAGTCTGTCCAGTGGTGAAGCTATACTTCCATTCCCCCATACGTCTTCTCTGGCACAGGTAACTACAAAAGAGCAATAAGGGCCAAGGGCAGAGGAAAGCATGTCAAGCTTTCTTTGTAACATTAGGGTGTGAATGAGGGGCGTTCATGATCTGATCAGACAGAAACCATCTTCCATGTTCATGTTGTTACGATGGAACTCAATCTTTATATAAGGTTCTTTCTGTAGTTGTCCTCTTCAAGGCCTACATTTCCTATTAGCCTATCGAGGACCCTGTCTCCTATTCTCATCATTGGGTGTGGCTGGTAATCCTACTGTTCTCCATGATGCGGTCTCCCATCCCTTCTATATATTCTGCTTGTTTCTCAACTTCACTCACCTTTAGCCTGAAAATGGAGGCAGCAGGTTCCTCCAAAACCAGTGGTAACTACCTCTTGGACTGCAAGTTCTCATAGCTCAGAAGACCAAAAATTAAAATATGCTCGATGAATATCCACAAGAACTTGCTGACTCCAAAATGAAGCCACTGAGAAGCAACTGTCCTTCTGCAGATACAATATAACAGGGCATTGTCATTATCCCATGCATTAAGGGTATATCCAAGAAATTCAGATTCATTGGAAACCGTTTCAGTATCAGGACCATTTTCAAAACTAAACATTTACTACATAGGACATTATTGAAAATTGAACCAGTTAGAGATACCAAGCATATATGCATTAAGGAGCAAAAATATAGCCTAGCCAAGGTCTGCCTGAAAAATGAAAATTACCCCAAAATTCATATGAAGAAGGCAAAAAAGTATGTTGGAAAGGAGCAAAGTTTTGCAGATTGAAACCAAACACGCCTTACAGGAAATACAAGGAATCTGCCAGTTAGCCTTTGGTAGATCATTTTATCAGTCAACTCATCTGGAACCCCATTATCACAGCTGAAAACTACAACCCCGTCCAGTGTAGATTAGATTATATGTGAAATTATGATTTATGTTGGTAACATAAAGAGAATTTATCTCTTTACTGATGGATTTTATTCTGATTTTAACAACAGTCATGGAACAGTGCATGGACATAAGTCCTAGGCTTCATGCGTGTGGAGTATTTTAATATTTTTAATATATATTTTAACTCTAGCAACAGTTTATGCTGTCCTTGGTTTACATATCATATCTTGTTTTGGTGCTGATGCCCGGAGATAGGGACTAGCTCTATTGATTGGGCCCAACTGAGTAGGTTCCACCTAGAGACGGAGACAACCCAATCTCTGCATCCTCTTAAATTAAAACAGGATGATGGATGTCCAGAAACACTGCAACTACATTAACATACTATCATCACAAATTTTTAGATCTGTCTTATAAATACTGTCACGCATTTTGGGTGACTAAACTAGAATTGGTAATTGGATTTATTGGACTCTTTATTAATTAGAATTACAAGTAACTCTAACAGTTTCACTGATTTACATACTTAACAATTCACTATACTGCAGCACACATACAAGCCTTCTATGTCTTCTCTAGGTGTTGGCTGGTAATGGCTCCAATCATTGTAGATTCATCAGCTTTCATGTTCACATCATTACTGGTTACCTACTGTCTCACAGCTTCTCATGGCTGCAATTCCTGGCCATTGATTCCTAGCCATGTCTGGCCACAACTTCCTTCCTTGCTTCCGACTCAGAATTAACTAGTCAGAGTCAGAGTTACTTTACAACTTGCGGTTTACCACCATTCAGTTCGTCTTGATGCCAAGCCTTGAGACTAATGTCCAGAATTTTTTCTTTCTTTTGTGTAACTGAACCCTTACGGTCATAAACTATACAAGAATTTTTACTTTTTCATTACTTTCAGATGGTGGTTTTTTTGACCTATGAGAACATGTAATCAACTTGGTGGTTACCAATGACAGTAAAGGAATATGATGCCCACATTTTCAGGCTAAATGCGAGTGAAGTTGAGAGATAATGCCCAGAAACATAATAATTGTAGAAAACAGATGTTTTGGACATCCCAATCATTTTAAATTGTCGTTCAGTTTTCATGCTCATTACAAGCATGAGCAGTCCTGGACAAAGAGATAACATAGTTGCTATAGGGATTTCAAATCTTCATGGCAGACTATGAAGATTACTGTCTTTTGGAATGTTATGCCATGTAGTCTGGAGGCAGCATGTTGCTCCATTTTCATGGTATAAGGCTCTTCTTCTCTTCTATCATTAAAGGCTTTAATAATAAAGACAGTAAACTTTATTGGAATATTTGTTCCTTTTGATTTACAGTTATGTTGGAATTTGCATAATAAGCTTGACATTAGTTAAAAAAATAAGGAAAACAGAAGTAAATCACATAAGTGTTTCAAACTTCATGAACTCAGTGAATTTAAACATAAAATTTGAAATATGCAATTACTTACTAAGTAAACAAATGTGGTATGTTACTTCTCAGCACCATACTTAGGACTCAGTTTACATGTGGTTTATTTATATCTATACGACTTTGTAATTAAGTTATAAAAATGAAAATTTTCTACAGTTATGTACACATTATCATGTTGTTCATGGCTGATTTCTTATTATTCCCGGTAACTTATGTTTATAAATATGAGGTGGATGTTAAAAGCTACCTTTGCTCTCTGTTGTAAATAAGATATTGTATCTTTGTGTTGCCTCATGCTTGCATCTTGAAGTCATTCTGCTTACTTATTAATAGTTTTTGTAACTGTCTAACATGTTAATATTTAGTAATGTCCATTATTTGTATATTTCATAACTCAGAGGATGGCTTAGAAATGTGGCACTAGTCAAAAATTACATTTTAGAAACCTGCTCTTTATACTGCTAGGTTTGCTCAACTCACTCTGTTAACATGTTAAACTCTGAGAGATATATTCTACTATTTGTAATCACTTGATCATTGCTTATGTTATTAGATTATGGACCGATGATGCTTTTACACTTTGATCTGCATGATGTATCAAGGCTGAAAGAGTGACATGGTTTACATTATCTTTAATATACTTTTATATTACTACATGCACCATCTAACAGCATGCTGTGCATGGATAAATTATTCACTACAAATCTATCAGACTCTCTTAAGAAGTGAGGTCACAGATTTGTTTCACAGCTGCGCTGTTTGGCTAACAGTTTTCTGGAATATCCCCTCACCATGTGTTCAGTACACCTAATGCTCAATTAAAATGCACATTGATACATTTTCTGGAGGATATATTCTGAATTTATCTTTAAAATGATTTTCATGTGTAATAATTTGCCAGTTTGTAAAGTTCCATTTCGAATTTTAAACTGTTATTTTATTGAGTAACTTCTCACAAGATGTCCGACTTGCATTCCATCAAGTAAAATGATATATTTGGATCTTGCTGTGTCAATATCTTTGAGTTACTTGCAAACCTTATACTTCACATATGGTTCGTGAATCAGCTTTATGATCGTTGAACTTTCTTATGGTTAGATTTATCCTCGTGGTACTTATGGCCTGCTGTTAGATTTATCATGCAATAAGATTTATGTGGGGGGGGGGTCACTGTCTTCAGGCAGAGATTATTCCCAATTCTAAGTGTCACCATTCCTGTAGAGATATTTATTGTTTGTAACATAATAATTTATCTTCATCATACATATTACACATGCTGCCATGTTAATTTGAATTAATGTCAAGGCCTGTGGCCTATATTCAAGTTTCCAGGACATATATCTTCTGTTCTCCTAAGGATGTGTGTACTGTAACTGTGTATGTGCGCATGTGTGCGTGCATCATGAATGGTTCTGTCTGTGACAGTGTATGTCCATGGAACTCTAGGCACCATATAAATGGCACTCAATGCGGGAACATCACGTGCATACAATGTAGTGATATTTGGAAACTGAACTTTCTGCCTGCATGGTCATAAAGGATCCAGTTTGTTAAAGATTAATGAATCAAACACAGCAGTGGACAGCAGAATATAATACAAATTTTAGTATCAGAATCACCAGGTTAGTTATTCTATTCTATTTCTGATGGGCTTCATTTCTATGCCGTCTCTGTACAATGACAACCAGGTTGTTACATTCCCAGTAACCTAGCACCTTGGCTCTGGAGTTTATAATATGTGTGTGGTGAAATTAACAATCTTATTATATTAAAAATTTTTACAGAAGAATGTGAAACATTGTGCTACATTCCTTGCTTCTTGTTGCGTAGCTTGAACCAGCCTGCAGTAAGCCTTGAATCCTTTGGCATGGAAGCTGACCGAGCCAATTTTGCTGAACTTTTCTTTGCACCTCCTTCAGTACCCTTCTTGGTTGCAGTTCTGTAACTCTTATTGCTGTTGAGTTCTATTGCTGAAGAATTCAGTGCTGAATGTTTCTTGGAATTTGCACTCTTGTCTCTGTTTTGTTTCTGGTTCAGAGATTCTGCAGATGTGGATGAGTTCAGGGCTGAGTATTTTTTCTCAGATGGTGTTCTGTCCCTGATATATTGCCCCTGACCATTCCCATTCTTCTGAATTAGTGATTCGGTTGATGTGGATTTGTTGACTCTTTGCTTCTGCAGTGTTGTGTGATTCTCTTTACCTCTGACACCATTACTTTTGTATCTGTTCACAGCACCACTGCTGCGATTCACTGTGACTTTTCCACTTGTTTGCTGGGACACAGGTATTTTTGGAGGCTTCCCATTGCTGTTCCATCCTAGAGTTTTGTTACCACTATTGTCATTGTCATAATGGACTTCAAGACCTTCTCTATAATGGTGAGGCTTCCATGGAGCAAGGACCTGAAAAATTATCAATATCATTGCAATAAACCTATATGAGAAGTACAGGGCATAAAGAACATGTGGGGGAAGCATGGAATGCATACAGAATATCAGGTGGTAAACTTCAAACACCATAAGACCTGAGGATAGATGACAGAGTAATATTAAATTGAATTTAGAAGCACAGGTTGGGAAAATATGAACTGCCCTGAGTACAATAGTAGGATTTTTTTAACATTATGATAAGAAGGAATATCTTGATGATTGTCCTCTTGGGCCTTTCTGTTGAGAATCTACTAATGTAAAAATGTTCAAGTAGGTAATAGTGATCTATATTCAGTTGTTTTTTTTGTATTATAATAAAAAGTTTCTTCTCGACCAATATGGTTGTTAAGTGATATGTAAGCATAACACAAAGAAAATCAACAGGTTATGGGCCCAGATTTGCTCAAAAATTAAAAACGAAAGAAAGAAAGAAAGAAAAGAAGACAGAAGAAGAATAACGAAAAAAATGGCAACCACATAGACAGAAGATGTAACTCATCTGCCAAAACTAAAGGATGCCGACTCATTTCCACCGTGGGATTTTGAAATAAAGATTCTGATGCATGCAAAAGAACTGATAAACATCGTTGATGGCAGTGACCTGTTAAGCGACCAAGGAAGAGACGAAGACAATATAAGGATATGGAAGATACGAGATGCAAAGTGCTAATACTACATAGTGAGAACGATGAAGAAACATGTGAAGACCCACACTGTGACATGCACAACCGCAAAAGAAATGTACAGCACCTTGAAGCAAATTAATCAGTGAGACACCTCTCAACAGAAGTGCCTTCTGCTACAAGACTTCTACAACTTCAAGTACGACAAAACTAAGGATATGACAACGAATATAAGTCATGTGCAGAACATTGCCTTCAAGCTTCGTCAACTGAAACAAAACTTTGATGAAAACATGATCATGACAAAAATATCGATTCTACCAGAAGACTACAAACACTTCAGCACCACCTGGGACTCAACGGCGACTGTGTACAGAACCCTTGACAACCTGGTGGCCGTATTGATGTTGGAAGAAGTAGAGTGCAAGATGACAACTAAAGAAGAGGAAAGCATAGCTTTCAAGACAGTAACTAAAACCAAAATTAGAACCCCTTTCAAGTGTTTCAATTGTAATCAAATAGGTCATGCCCAGATCAACTGCCCCAACAAAGGTAAGAGAAATTGCTCTATCTGTAAAAGGAATAGTCACTCTGAAAAGGACTGTTACTTTAGAAATAAGGACACTGATACAAGAAACCAATGTACAGTATGTAAGAAAACGAACCATGCTGAAATGGACTGTTATTTTAAAGATGGGAATAAAAGAAGCAAGGTCAATTTTCTAGCTGAAGCAGCAGAAACCCATGTGAGCGATGCAAGTGAAAAAGACAAAATGTATGTAGTGGATAGTGGTAGCACATGTCATATGACAAATGTGAAGACTGATTTGATATATACTAGGCAGTATACTCAATGTATAAAGGTAGCAAAGAAAAATCAAAGTATGACTGCAAAAGGAATTGACAATCTGGCATTTAAAGAGTGTAGTTTGAAAAACGTTTCATATGTTCCAGAACTCAGCAAACACCTGCTGTCTGTGCACTGTATTACAGAAAATGATGGAGAAGTGTTGTTTACAAAACAGGAAGTCCAGATACTCAAGGACAAAAATGTTGTAATCGAAGGAAAAAAAGGNACAAAAATATCGATTCTACCAGAAGACTACAAACACTTCAGCACCACCTGGGACTCAACGGCGACTGTGTACAGAACCCTTGACAACCTGGTGGCCGTATTGATGTTGGAAGAAGTAGAGTGCAAGATGACAACTAAAGAAGAGGAAAGCATAGCTTTCAAGACAGTAACTAAAACCAAAATTAGAACCCCTTTCAAGTGTTTCAATTGTAATCAAATAGGTCATGCCCAGATCAACTGCCCCAACAAAGGTAAGAGAAATTGCTCTATCTGTAAAAGGAATAGTCACTCTGAAAAGGACTGTTACTTTAGAAATAAGGACACTGATACAAGAAACCAATGTACAGTATGTAAGAAAACGAACCATGCTGAAATGGACTGTTATTTTAAAGATGGGAATAAAAGAAGCAAGGTCAATTTTCTAGCTGAAGCAGCAGAAACCCATGTGAGCGATGCAAGTGAAAAAGACAAAATGTATGTAGTGGATAGTGGTAGCACATGTCATATGACAAATGTGAAGACTGATTTGATATATACTAGGCAGTATACTCAATGTATAAAGGTAGCAAAGAAAAATCAAAGTATGACTGCAAAAGGAATTGACAATCTGGCATTTAAAGAGTGTAGTTTGAAAAACGTTTCATATGTTCCAGAACTCAGCAAACACCTGCTGTCTGTGCACTGTATTACAGAAAATGATGGAGAAGTGTTGTTTACAAAACAGGAAGTCCAGATACTCAAGGACAAAAATGTTGTAATCGAAGGAAAAAAAGGATGAAAATGGATTGTTTGTAATTAGCTTTAGCACGAGGAATGAAGCTATGATGACTCAGCAAGATAGAAGTGTAGAGTGGCATAGAAAGCTAGGTCACATAGGTTATGCGAATCTTAGGAAACTACAAGAGATATGCCAAGGGATACCAGAAAGTGTGAGCAAGTGTAAACATTTTGATATATGTTCAGTTTGTATGCAGGCCAAACAATTGAGACTCCCACTTGATGCAGAAAGAAGTAGGGCTGGAAAGCCATTAGAGATAGTTCATAGTGACGTGTGTGGACCAATTGATCCCACCACTTATGACAATAAGAAATATTTCCTTATGTGTGTGTGGATGACTATACGCATTTTTTAAGATATACCTGTTAGAAAATAAGAGTGAAATGTATACCTTTTTGAAGGAATATGTAAATGAAGCTGAGTGTCACCTCAATACAAGAGTGAGAAGAATAAGATGTGACAATGGAGGGGAATATAAGAACAACGCCTTGAGAGAATGGTGTAAGAACAAGGGGATTGTATTGGAATTTACTACACCATATTAGCCACAGATAAACGGCACCGCCGAAAGGATGAACTGTACCATTGTGGAAAAGGCAAGAGCATTGATTTTTGACTCAGGTTTAAGTAAGAGACTGTGGGGTGAAGCTGTACTCACTTCTCCATACCTGCTAAACAGAAGTCCAACAGTGGNAGCAAAGAAAAATCAAAGTATGACTGCAAAAGGAATTGACAATCTGGCATTTAAAGAGTGTAGTTTGAAAAACGTTTCATATGTTCCAGAACTCAGCAAACACCTGCTGTCTGTGCACTGTATTACAGAAAATGATGGAGAAGTGTTGTTTACAAAACAGGAAGTCCAGATACTCAAGGACAAAAATGTTGTAATCGAAGGAAAAAAAGGATGAAAATGGATTGTTTGTAATTAGCTTTAGCACGAGGAATGAAGCTATGATGACTCAGCAAGATAGAAGTGTAGAGTGGCATAGAAAGCTAGGTCACATAGGTTATGCGAATCTTAGGAAACTACAAGAGATATGCCAAGGGATACCAGAAAGTGTGAGCAAGTGTAAACATTTTGATATATGTTCAGTTTGTATGCAGGCCAAACAATTGAGACTCCCACTTGATGCAGAAAGAAGTAGGGCTGGAAAGCCATTAGAGATAGTTCATAGTGACGTGTGTGGACCAATTGATCCCACCACTTATGACAATAAGAAATATTTCCTTATGTGTGTGTGGATGACTATACGCATTTTTTAAGATATACCTGTTAGAAAATAAGAGTGAAATGTATACCTTTTTGAAGGAATATGTAAATGAAGCTGAGTGTCACCTCAATACAAGAGTGAGAAGAATAAGATGTGACAATGGAGGGGAATATAAGAACAACGCCTTGAGAGAATGGTGTAAGAACAAGGGGATTGTATTGGAATTTACTACACCATATTAGCCACAGATAAACGGCACCGCCGAAAGGATGAACTGTACCATTGTGGAAAAGGCAAGAGCATTGATTTTTGACTCAGGTTTAAGTAAGAGACTGTGGGGTGAAGCTGTACTCACTTCTCCATACCTGCTAAACAGAAGTCCAACAGTGGCAGTGAATGGAACGCCAGCAGAAAATTGGTATGGTAAAAGACCAGATCTGGCTGGATTGAAGTTTTTTGGTTCAGAAGTTTCCCTAAAATTCTCAGACCACTGAAAAAGTTGGACAGTCGTAGCAAGAAAGGAATATTCGTTGGATACAACACAAATTGCCACAGAATATGGGATCCAAATATTGAAAGGACCTATGTCTCCAGAGATGTGATATTCACAAGTAAACCTGTGACAACAAATAAACAAAAGGAAAAGGAAAGAGTGATGGATCCAGAAGACAAGCCAATTGTTTATTGTTTATTGTTATTAAATAACTCCACAAATCCTGTACAGGGGCTTTAGCACCCATAGGATATAGAGCTAGTCAAACTTATACAAATACTCCAGATCAGGAAGAGAGCAAAATGCAGCAAGAACCCGAAGCTGACAACAATGAAGAAGAACCAACAGATACTGAAGAGGATGAAGAAAATGAAAATGCTGACCACAAGGATAATGGAAGGAAAAACAATGGACAAAATGAACATGGATATGCACTGAGACCAAGAAGAAACATTCAAATGCACCCAAAGTACTGAGACTATCACACAGAGAGTCAAAAGGAGGGTATGCTCACCTATACATATGACAAGTGCATGGAGAGCGAATACAGCGAGAAGTGGGAGAAAGCCATTAAAGAANGGATGAACTGTACCATTGTGGAAAAGGCAAGAGCATTGATTTTTGACTCAGGTTTAAGTAAGAGACTGTGGGGTGAAGCTGTACTCACTTCTCCATACCTGCTAAACAGAAGTCCAACAGTGGCAGTGAATGGAACGCCAGCAGAAAATTGGTATGGTAAAAGACCAGATCTGGCTGGATTGAAGTTTTTTGGTTCAGAAGTTTCCCTAAAATTCTCAGACCACTGAAAAAGTTGGACAGTCGTAGCAAGAAAGGAATATTCGTTGGATACAACACAAATTGCCACAGAATATGGGATCCAAATATTGAAAGGACCTATGTCTCCAGAGATGTGATATTCACAAGTAAACCTGTGACAACAAATAAACAAAAGGAAAAGGAAAGAGTGATGGATCCAGAAGACAAGCCAATTGTTTATTGTTTATTGTTATTAAATAACTCCACAAATCCTGTACAGGGGCTTTAGCACCCATAGGATATAGAGCTAGTCAAACTTATACAAATACTCCAGATCAGGAAGAGAGCAAAATGCAGCAAGAACCCGAAGCTGACAACAATGAAGAAGAACCAACAGATACTGAAGAGGATGAAGAAAATGAAAATGCTGACCACAAGGATAATGGAAGGAAAAACAATGGACAAAATGAACATGGATATGCACTGAGACCAAGAAGAAACATTCAAATGCACCCAAAGTACTGAGACTATCACACAGAGAGTCAAAAGGAGGGTATGCTCACCTATACATATGACAAGTGCATGGAGAGCGAATACAGCGAGAAGTGGGAGAAAGCCATTAAAGAAGAAAAGGATTTGCTCTACCAAAACAAAACTTGGATATATGTAAACAGAGAGAAAGCAATGGGCAAGAAAATTCTGACCAGTAAATGGGTTTCCAAAATAAAGGACGATGGAAGACACAAAGCCAGACTGCTTGTGAGAGGATGCCAACAAAAGAAAGGGGAAATAGATTTCAAGGATACCTTCAGCCCAGTTGTTGACATGAATTCTCTTAGAGTACTGTTTGCCATAGCAGCACGTAAGAATATGAACATGCAAACCTTTGATGTGAAGACTGCCTTCCTGTATGGAGACCTTGACGAGGAAAACTACATGGAGATAAATGATATAAACTCCGTCTCAAGTGCAAACAATATATTTTGTGTCTTTGATCTTGCTCCTTACACTACATGTTTCGGCCTCAGACACAAAATATATTGTTTGCACTTGAGACGGAGTTTATATCATTTATCGTATGGAGTGCAACAGGATGCTTAAATATAATATTACATGGAGATACCAGAAGGATACAAGAACATTGGCAAGATATGTCTCCTGAAAAAGGCATTATATGGCCTAAGACAAGCACCATCACAATGGAACAAGAAGTTGACAACCTTTCTAAAAGAAGAAGGTCTAAACCAACTAAAATCGGACCAACGCATTTTTAAGAATGACGCCAATAGTTTGTTCATGGTCATTCATGTGGATGACGGGATAAACATGGCAGAGGATGAAAGACAAATACTGGAAATTTTGCTGAAACTGGAAAATCAATTCCAGATAAGAAAGACCACAAATCCAAAAGTTTATTTAGGAATACATACTGAGAGACAACCAGATGGGATACATATCTCTCAAACCAACTATGCAAGCCAAATGTTGGACAAATACAACATACAAGAAAGTCTAGAAATGAAAACACCCATGGCCACGACCGCACCAACAAATGACGAAGGAGAAAATGACATAAGATTTCCTTACAGAGAAGCTGTAGGAAGCCTATTATATATGACTTCTAAAACCAGACCCAATATGGCATTCGCTGTAAATGTGGAAAGTCGAACCTTGGAAAATCCTGACAAAAAAGCTGTTCAGAATGTGAAAAGGACCCTTAGGTATGTGAAATGTACACAAGATTCAGGAATAAAATATACCTCAACTGACTTCGAAACTGTGAAACTGGAAGCATTTAGTGATGCTGATTATGCAGGGGATGTAAAGGACAGGAAGTGTGTAACAGGATAGGTAATTATGATGTCAGGGGGCCCAATATCATGGTGCTCTAGGAAACAGAGTATTGTTGCATTATCAACCACCGCGGCCGAATATATTGCAGCAGCTGAGTGCTGTAAAGAATTGAAATATCTAAAAGACGTTGATAGAAGAGGTGACAGGAAAAAGGGTGGAAGCTGAACTGTGTGTCAACAATCAGAGTGCAATCAAGCTAATAGAATCTGGACAAGTGACGCGTAGGAGTAAGCATATAGATGTTAGGTATCACTACATAAGTGAACAATTGATAGAGAAACTGTTCTCAATCAAATATTGTAACACTGAAACTCAGGTGGCAGACATTTTAACAAAACTGCTATCACCAGAGAAATTTGCCAAGTTTAGAGACATTATACTTAAGTAGAAATAAGTCTGATTTTGAAATTAAGGAGGAAAATGAGAAATGTGTTTGTAATATTTTGAAATTAAAGAGGAATGTTGAGAATCTAGTAATGTAAAAATGTTCAAGTTGGTAATAGTGATCTATATTCAGTTGTTTTTGTTTTGTATTATAATAAAAAAGTTTCTTCTCATCCAATATCGCTGTTAAGTGACATGTAAGCACGACAGAAAGAAAATCAACACTTTCAACCATGTGTGTATGGGCAGTGTTGCCAGTGTTTGTTTCAAAGGTACATGCTGCCTCATGTGCAGGGTTTGAGTGAGTAGGTTGGTAGGATGTTAATTTTCCAACAGAAAACTAGGGTTGTGCCCAGTGTGTGCAAACAGGAACAGTGGACAGGGAAGTTGCTAACCAAATACTATCAGCAATGCTCCCAAGCAGTCAGTTGTTAGAGTGCTTAAACCTCCTCTGCTGTGGGCTGAGCAACATGCAAAGTAGCAGAGAGATCACTACTGGTTACAGGTAGGTTGCAGCTGGTATCCACTTCCCCCCAATGTTTCTGTTGGAACTGTGAACCATAGATACATGAACACTCACCCACCATATTCACTTCAACCCTGAAGATGGAGGCAGCATGTATCTCTGAAACATTATGAACACTGCCCACACCCATATGGTGCTAAGACCCAACAGCAAAATAATATCAACAATGAACCATTGGTGAAACCCTAAAATGAGGGAATATCATGGCCAACTAAATAACTCTGAATTCCTCAAGAGATCCTATAACATACGTATAGTTGGCCTGAAAGACACTCACAGATATTGAACGCGATACTGTGCGAGTTTGTGGCTGCAATGGACATGGTGAACCTCCTGTGGAGGACAGTTCCTCTCTGCTCTGCGCTCTGCGAGCGACTCCACTACTCTGAGATCTTGGTGGACCAGGAATATCTCCCACTGAAATAAAACAAATTTTAGAAACAATCAATGAGACTGATAAAAATAATATAACACTAATTAATAACTTAATTTCCTGTATCTATCTATCTATGGCTTCACAGTCAGTAGGACTCCTTGGTCAGAGGATCAGCATGTCGCAAGGCCGCTACCTACATACAGAACAACACAAATACAAAATAAACACACACACAGTGATCCATGCTTTGAGTGTGTTTCAAACCCACGATCCCAGAGCTCAAACGACTGACAACAGTTCATGCCTTAGACCGCGTGGCCACAGTGATCATTTGATATCCTGCATAGTGGCTCAAAATTAAGAGAATGTGGGCTTATAAGGTTACATAAAGATAATTCTGGGCCCAAGAACCACATTCTGAAGGGGCAGAGAAGAAAAAGTTTTGTGTATTTAGCTCTTGGTACTAGATGAAGTAGTTATATTTACATTCTTCTTGTTTTATCCCACGGAAGTAATCAACAGAATCCAATTAACCGTTGGATAGCTGGTTGAGTGGCCTCCTGATTTATTCTGCATGTGATGGAGACAAAATTTCCATCCTTACTGGGAATCAAATTTTGATCAACTGACCTATAGTCAATCGCTTAACTAACTGAGCAGTCCCATCATAATAACCATATCTCATTGATCTGTGCTGTACTGCCTGGTTTCAGACTCAGTATACAGCTCATTTCTACGTGTATGTAATTGTTTCATGTTGTGCATTTCCAGAACACCAATTTTTATTTTAATTTAATGAAGATTACTGTCTTCTGGGAAGTAGTGTTGTAGTCTTATACAAATTAGTGATGTGTTGGAGGAACATGCTGTCTCCATCTTCAAGCAGTAAAGTTGAAAGCTCCATTTTCCTCCAAAACATGAGTAAATATCTATCCGACTACATGGCATTACAACTTAGATAGCAGTAATTTTCATAGTCAGTGCATCAAATCTCACTCTTAATATTTTGCCATTCTTGTCTTTTTTATTTATTCATAAAATGTGTCAGTCCACTGAATTCTATTAATTTTAATGTGCTATGTTAGGAAAACAATATGAACACAGGCTATTCATGCATGTGTGCACGCATACATGTACACTACTTTGCGAAAATATATGATTTGGTGGATTGTTAGACACTGAACTGAATTTTAGTGTGGTGGCAGGTTGACAAGCAATGATACAAGCTCTCAACTGAATTCTGAAATACTAGGTTCTACATGTTATCATGTTACAAAAACAAGAAATTTCCTTACACTCTTGTAACCAGCAAAGCACGGGGTCAGCCACCAAACTTAAGACTGAGGATGTGATAATGTGCTCCGTGGTCAGGGCTATCAGACACCTTAGTAGGTGGTGATAAATGAATATGGAGCAATGATGGAATGATGAAGGAACTCAAAGAAGAATCTGCTCCATTGCCACTCTGTCCATGACAAATCTCACATTAAGTCAACAGCGACTGAACCTGAGGTTCCCCAATGAGCGGTTAGTCTCTAACTGCCTGAGCTGTGACATGACCAGTATCATGCTATAATATGACAAAATATGAATAATTCTGTATTTTCAGAGGATAACTGAAAATACACATGCTCTACTCCATGTGGAAAAATTATACTTCATGTTGCTCAGTTAAATTTTGTGTTGTATACACATATGAATAAACAGCCAAATGCTGTATGCGAAGTCACATCTGTACATCCATACATTTGTCATTAAGAGTTGGATTTGTTTTGTTCATACCAGTGTATAGGAACATTTTATATAAGGAGTTATATGAATATCTATTTTTATTACTTTAAATATATTCCACATTAGGGATCAATATTTAAATGACAATTTCAGATATTAATAAGGTATATGTTTTATGTCATATATTTTGTTTTTTTATGATGAATCATTTTCCAGAAATTTGTTGGAATAAAATTTGGCTGTAAAGAATGCCTATGTTTGTTGTAAACATACGTTCTTCCCTCCTGTTGGTATGGCTTTCACCAGGTTAGCAGATGGTAGTAAGCTTATTCTCAATACTCATCTGAAAAGTGAAACTTAGTGACATGAATGACCCTGATGCAGAAGGTTTAAACACTATTAGTTCAGTGATTCCATACAGTGCCATCATCTGATATGTTTCATTACAATTATAAACTTAAAACTGACTTTCTGTAGAATCATACATACCCATATATGTCTACCTGCTGCTATTGCCCAGAGCTGAAACATTTATATAAACTTATCATTCCCTAAACATATGGGCATATAGTTGATTGAGTAGAGTTGCTCTAATTTTGAATGAACCAAAGAATTTAACCTAAATGCATACTAATGACTTGGAGTTTTTAGTGTGCTATCTTGAGGTCACACATAGAAGTATGTTGCATAATTCAGCACTGTTTATGTGTACTTTCCTGTTACCTAGTAACTACTATACTAAACCTGCCCCAATTTGTTTGATGACACTGTCATACCTGGTCTCAGGTTCCACCAGTATTTTCAAAGGTGAAAAGAGTTTCTTATTCTATTAAAACTATTGTAAAGGCTGAGCTCTGTAAATGTCAGTGAAGTAAGGTTTTACCGATGCTTAGATTAGGGTTTTGCATCACGAGTAATAAATAAGCATTAACTATTCAGTTTACACATATTTAGTATTAATGCATCTGAGAAGCTGATGTGCCATTTTCAGTATGAGGAATGAATAGTCACTACAACAAATCTGTGAAGTTTTTTCAACCATTCTTTGCACAACTAGCCATGTGTCTTTACACTGTGTTGTTTGTTGTGTATTGCACCCACATTTACTCGTACTTATTCAACTACACCATCAGAAATTCAGACTACAAAGCATTGCATGATAGGATGAATTTGCCTGAATGGACTGAGAAAAACTATGAAAAACCTGTCAGGATAGTTCTGGCCGAGATTCAAGGCAAGCACTTCTTGAATACAAGTCAGACGTATGACAGCTTGTGCAACTTACTTGTTGCTGTCCATTTCAAATTAATTCTGTTTACTGAAATAAGTATATACTGTATATATATTCTATTTACTTTACTTTAGCTATGTATGTACATATTATTTTAAACTGAGGTCACCATACCTCCAATTTATTGCCTAATGGGAAATTAATTTTTATGTAATAGATTATTTCTTAATGGAAGATTAACCTAAGATGACACAGCAAATGTAAAGTAAATGTATTTTGGCACAAAATTGGTCTTTTGCTAACATTTCACTAAACAACCTGCCAGCCTCACTAGGAAATATGTGCACCATTTTGTCTCACCAGTGGCTGCATGCAGATAGACAACAGATCTTTGTGACTGTTGACTGCTGTCTCCTTCAGTGGTGCTCTCGGCAGAGCTGGTAGCCACGTCCCCAGCACTGCGGTGTTGACGAAGCCCCATTGCCGCCAGATTCCGTGATGGTGCCTGTACTTTGTTATTAATACTGCCAGTGCTCATACCATTGGTGCTGTTATTGTTGTTTGACTTGTAGCGACGTAGGGTTTGATGACTTGGCTGGTGGATTACTGATGTTACAGATTCCTGATCTGTGTCCCCAAAAAATCTTAGGTTCTTATTATTACTGGTAGTGTTATTGTTGTTTTGCCTGACTGTCTTGTTCTCATCTTCTGTGTCTTTATCTTGCTCCTAGAAATAAGAAATAAGTTCAGGTTTCAAATTACCTTCATTATTCACACAATAATAGAAGTTAGTCTCCTAGGGAAACAGTAATCTGGGTTCAAATGGTTCAAAACTGTGTTCAGTGGCAGGCTTCGATGTTACATATGTTGAATCTTTTTCTGCTTCCTCATGTATGTAGTATATATGATAAAATATTTTGATCATGATAAAATCAATCTGGAGATTTTGACAAATTTATAGTTTCAACTTTCCACCCTACCCACCAACCCACTGTAGTACATGATACAGTTTGTGTGTGTGTGTGTGTGTATAGTGTATAACAAGACGGAGGATTCACTTGGCTTACACGAAAGTACATGATAAGATAACTGTAACTAAGAAACTTACCTGAAGATAGGCGGGGTAACTGTGACTTTCTTAGGTCACATGTTACAGGTGGTAATGATGCCATCCTCAATGAAGTTGGCCAAACCACGGTTGTGTCTTTGGTGGGGAGGCATCATGGACCAGGGATGTGTTGGGACACTTCCTCATGGTCCCGCTGGGCAACGACAATCTCGAGGTCCAGATCAGTATGACCTACTGAGGCTGGCAACTAAGTTCCCATAAAGGGCAATGGCTATATGACCAGAGCCTCCCATGCAGCGGCAAAATGACTCTTGGGTATCACTACAGTGTACCCAGGATGAATGCGGGAGAGCACTCCCATGGGGGTAGCTTCAGCTATTTGTCTCCCTAGAGTACTGATAAGGTGCCACAAGCCTTAGGGCTCAACACTCTGAAACGGTTTGACCAACCCATGTGGAGGGGTGGGAATGGGGGAGCTCATAGGCCAGCCCCAGGGGCGACTCTCTCATGCAGGTTGCCCTGGTCACAAACTCATCACTAACTGGTGTCGCACTCCCATTAATAATCTGGGATACCCCTTCACCCCCCGAAGAGGCACTCTTGGTCCTGGAGGCTTGTGAGGGTTTCAATCACAACAGGACCAGACCACCTAAGCCAAGGTGTGAGGCATCGTGCTGAGGGCTGCATGGCACTGGGGTGGTAATTAGCCAGCGTCTGAACGATCCTCTTGGGACACCAGGCAGTACCCAGTTGTATTTAGGCCTTCCACCCGCATGGGGCATTGCGGGTGGCGACCTTTAAAATCCCCATGACTCGTGGGACCAAAATGAAAGGAACCAAACTAAAAACCGGCCGTAAGGACCTTAGGCTGAAAAGGGACCCCCTCTAAGGGGATACCTATGATAAATGCTTCATCAGGGAGCTGGAAGCTCTGGCGAACCACTAAGGGTCCCAGTTGCAAACAGCGAACCTGCTGTTGAACTTTCAGCCAAAGGCAGGGACGAAACAATGGTTTGAAACCTACTTTAAGTAAAACCAAAAACTCCTCTCTTGGGAGTCAGTAGTACTGACGTACCACTGCAGGGGCTAGTAACTCTAGCACACCCGCAGCAGGAGAAGGATATGAACACCTAGTCTCTGGAGTAGGTGGACCCCGTATAGCGAAAAAAGCCTTGTCTGGATGCGCTAGATGGAAGTTTAAAAAGGCAAGAGCTGGGGGCAGTCAGCAACGAGGAAATGCAGGCTCGTCCAAGCAGGGAGAAACCCCCACCGGTACCTTTAAGAGGCCACGGTTGGAGGGCAGTATCCCTACAGAAACGGCCACAACTCCGAAAAGGCCCAGGGACTTACAAGGAGGATCTGACCAATATAAAGGTAGCTATCTTCAAGGAAACATATCCTGAGGATAATTTTACCGAAGATGACCAGAATTCCATTCTGGAAGCACTGAGGGAGGTGTTACATAAGACTCCAAGGAGAACTACCACACCTGAAATCTTACAGACTAGTGGGAGATGCACTTATCTATGTATGTACCGACCAACAGTCTGGTCAATGGCTCACCAAAGCCACTGACAAACACAGGCTGGAATCAGGGGCCAGGCTGAAAGTTACTGATGCCAGGAACCTGCCCAAACCTGTTAAAGTGGCTCTCCCGACTAGGGACAAACTTGCCCAGAATCAGGAAGAGCTGCTGAAATGGATTGCAAACCTTAATCCATGACTTCATACTGAGAACTGGAGGGTACTAAATAAGCAGTCTGAGTCGAAAGGCCAGAGGCTTATCTTATTCATAGACCGGGAATCCCATACTATTATACAGAGGAATGGTTACAAAATATTTATAGGACTCTCACAGGGGACTGTTAAGGTGCTGGATGATCCTGAAGTTCAGCGTCGGGCAGAACCTGTGTCAGATACAGTATCTTCCAAATCGGTCTCTTGGGGGGACAGGGATGAGATACCCACTCCCCCAGATGACCAAAGAAAAAAAAAAGGATCAGGGGACCCCTTCACACGGAATTCAGTCGGAGGACGGGGAGGGATATCAGATGGAAACTGACCCCTCCCCAATTTGAAGAGATCACTAATCCAAACACATACACCTAATACATCCATACACACACAGCACATACACACATCATGAAATTTCTTCAGATTAACCTACACCACAGCAACTCTGTGCCAACAACTAGCTGAGTGTAAGGCAGATATAGTATTTATTCAGGAACGTTGGTTATATAAGGGTCAAATAAGGGGCTTAAATAACACAGGGGGAACAGTTTACTCTGCTGTACCCAGTAATAATGCAAGATCCTGTGTTTATATCAGGAATCATGTTAATGCCTTGCCTTTGCTGGAGCTCTGTTCTAGTGACGCAACAGCAATGGAGATAACATACACGTATCAAGGAGACTGCATGGAGCTGACTGTTGCTTCAGTCTAACCTCCATACGACTCAGATGACCCACCACCAACTAAGGAAATGAGGGACATCATAGAATACTGCTGTAGCAGGAAAAAGCAACTCATCATTGGGTGTGATGCCAACGCGCACTACATCTTGTGGGGGAGCACCGGCACTAACCCAAGGGGAGAGAGCCTTATGGAATTTAAATCATGGTAACAAACCTACCTTTGTAGTTTGCAATAGGAAGGAGGTTATTGATTTGGAACTAGGGACAAAAAAACATAGGAAACCTGGTAATTAATTAGCATATATCTGATGAGCCGTCTTTATCGGACCACAGATACATATGCTTTCAAATCGGTAGCATAACAACACAACAAGTTACCTTCAGGAATCCCAAGAGAAACAATTGGGAGTCATACAAGGATGACCGAAAGGTGAACCTGGAGTTTATTTCGCGAAGTATATGTACGATAAAGGACACAGATCGATCTGTTGACCAGTTGCAAGGGGCCGTCATCTTGTCCTATTGTCATAATTGTCCAGCCAGGACACTCGCTTACCAAGGAATGCACCTTGGTGGAATAAAAAGCTGAGTGGGCTGAGAGTGAAAACAAGAAAGCTATGTAATATAGCGAAAAGGATAGGGCAGTGGGACACCTACAAGGAAACCCTCACCTGTTAAAATAAGGAGATAAGGAAAGCCAAACAATCTTCATGGAGGAGGTACTTCCAGATCAGTGATGTGCAGGGCAGTGCCAGACTCATGAGGGTCATGGCAAAACAGGCGACCAATAAGGTCAGCTCTATCAAGCTGCCTGATGGTAAGTATACCCAAACTGAAAAAGGAACACTGAAGGAACTGTTCAGAGTTCACTTCCCACATTCAAAGTTGATTGATTATTTGGTTGACGAGTGGGACCAGCAGAACCTGGACGTATGTGGATACATAATGAACAGGGGAGACTGGAACCTGGCTGGTCGGGTAATCAATGAATCAAAAATTAGTTGGGCTTTAGGTACCTTCAAACCATTTAAGTCTGCGGGAACAGATGGTATTGCAATGGCACTTCTGCAGCAAGGGGCGAAACATTTAGTCCCACACCTATGCCGTATATTTAGAGCCTGCATGGCGCATGGGTTTATTCCTGCGGCCTGAAGGCAAGTTAAAGTGACATTTATTCCGAGGCTTGGGAAAATTGATTATACCGATGTAATGTGGTAACGCTGGTATGTCAAGTGACGTCACCACATATTGTATTTTATAGGATTTAATGATGTTTTCTCACATTAAGTTGGCATATGACAGTGTGAGATACCCTAGATACAGAGCATAGAACGGCAAATTAAGCCTAACATAAACAGATATTTCACAACTTGAAAATGAAGTCATCTTAGCTGCACACGGCACTGAGGATGACGTTATGGTTCTGAGAATTAACTGTAATATCCAGGGACCATCTGGGCCCCAAGCTCTCCTTATAAGGAGATGGACGCTATGAAGTCACATGATTTTGCCACGCCCGAAGACAATACTATATAAGGGCTGGCATTGTAACCATTCGAGGATGTAAAAACCATTAAGCTAGTGCAGCACGCACTGTGCGTTTGGGAGCACACCGCTCTCGTAAAGTCAGGGGTTTGATTCCTGTTTTATACTTATTTCATGTCTTGAACAAGTAAAGTGTTTGGTTTCATCTCACAAGTTCGTGTTGTCTACCTTATTTCACACATCCGAATCTTCGAGGAGATCTCGCTTATCCACATGCCCAACGCTTCGGTTCTCAACACGCTAAACGACTTCGGCAGGCTGAGTTCAACATCACAGCTGGCCAGCGCATCTCACCTGTTGGAGCAGTGCAATAACATCGCACCTGTCTTGGTGCAGTATCATCAAGTGGTGGCAGCTAAACAACACGTTACCATATTATACTTAAGCATCCTGTTGCACTCTACACTATAAATGATACAAACTCCGTCCCAAATGCAAACAATATATATTATATGTCTTTGGTCTTGTTCTCTTCCACACTACATGTTTCGGCCTCTATCAGCCATCATCAGGTGTATACTCTTAACGTTGCTGCTACACTGAACCCAGTCTAAAATTTAACATTTAAAAACACATTGTTATTTTCTTCGTATTATCAACATCTACCTCGTTGATATGTGTCTGGTATGTAGATTATATTGCACGCGTCAAATTTGATTTTCCTGTAGTAGCACTATAAAATCTTTAGTTATGATT